AAACAAAATTACATTTAGAATAACGAGTAGTTCTTGAGTGAACATCAGAATTTAAAACTAATGAATCTAATAGATATTGTGGAACTCTAAGCTGGGTACGCTTGAAAAGAATCAAACATTTGGCTATTCTAGCCTCGATGTAAAAAGGCAACCAACGTAACTTATTGAACAATGTAACAGACGCCGAATTAGGTTCAGCATCAAGAATTATTCTGGCTGCTCTCGTCTGCAGACGCATAATATTATTCAGATTATCTTTACTACACATATGCCAAATGACACTAGCATAATTTAAGATAGGTCTAATCATACTATTATAGTATAAAATTCTTTGTTGCAATGRCAAACACGATTTAATCTTATTCAAAACTCCTAATCTTTGAGAAACTTTTTTGCTAAGATATTTGACGTGATTATCAAATGACAGTTCAGTGTCCAATTCGAGACCAAGCACTCGTGAACACTCTACTTGTTCCAGGGTTTTTTATGAGAAGTACCAATATTCAGCTATTTATCCTCGGTACTAACTTTAGTAGACAAACGCTTGCCAGTAATCAGCATGGACTTTGTCTTTGTTTCATTGAGAGGAAGCTTGTTGGCACTAGCCCAGTTCTCTACATCTTTCCAAGCACTACCCAACTTGTTACGCATGGAAGCCAAGCTCTCTACATCAGAAGCGTACGAAATACTTGTATCATCTGCATAAAGATCAACATGAACATCGGACGATTGAATATTCAATGGGAGATCATTGATGAAAACGAGAAACAAAAGAGGGCCCAGAAGACTGCCCTGAGGAACTCCATGGTGGATATTTTGGAGGTCTGAGTCCAAACCATTCACAGTAACGTACTGTCGACGCCCTGACAAGTAGGACTCTAACCAAGTTCTTGAGGTTTCAGCCAGGCCGTAAGCAGATAGCTTTGTCATTAAGATCTGATGATCAACCATGTCAAAAGCCTTGCAGTAATCAATAAGAACAAGACCATTAACACGATTGTTGTCGAGGTTACCAAGTAATTGGTCAACAATCCTGATAAGAGCAGTATCAGTWCCATGGTGTTTTCGGAAGCCAGATTGACGAATATACAWTAGGTTGTTTTTGTTCAGGTAGTCGTAGAGATGGTTATGAACATGCCCCTCGAGCAATTTAGACAACACTGGCAAAACCGATATTGGTCGATAGTTAGTCATATCATTGTGATCACCTGATTWGAATAATGGGGTGACTTTTGCAGTCTTCCATCGATGGGGGAATACCCCTTTTTCAATTGATATATTCAAAAGCTTTGATACAGATGAAGCGATGAGAGGAGCAGCGATTTTCAACATTTTTGCGCTTATTTTGTCTACACCCATGGCCTTAGAACAGTTTAAGCTTAGTAAGTTGTCATAGATGAAACTCTTTTCAACAGGTGGAATAGAGAAACACTCTTCCGGGTCTTTTCTGGAAGCAATAAAGTTCATGAGTTTCGAGGTGTCCAAAGGTATGTCAGGCAGAAAATTTCTCAATTTGTCTGCGATTGTACTAAAATGGCGATTAAAGTCATCCGCAGATCCATGGTTACCATGCTTTCCCTCACTGGAACTACCAGTCAATGACTTAATTGTTTTCCACATTTTCTTCGGGTTACCTTTGCTGTTTTCGAAACACTCTTTGTAGAACTTGGCCTTAGCATATTTAACCATATTGGACGCATGATTTCTCGCCGATCTGTAATTAGACCAGTTCTGTTCATTATTGGAACGTCTGGCTTTCTTTAACAATGAATCACGTTTCACAAGTTGCTTGATAACTTCTTTAGTCATCCATTGCGCTTTTTTAGGTTTTGAAACACGTTTCTGGCGCCAAGGACAACAGGTATTCAGAACGCCGTTAAATAAAGATTCCCAAGTGCTCAAAACATCATCAAGATCATCGAACATAAATGCTGTGTCCCAAGGGACCTCCTTTAAGGATTCCTTAAAGTCTTTCTCATTAAATTTTTTCATGTCCCTGTAGGTTATAGTGCGTGGGCCAGGACCATAATTTGGGCTATTGTTCTTGTAAATGCGTACACAGAATACTGGAATGTGGTCGGAGATTCCATAATTATAAGTTATTATCTTCTTGATTCTTTCAGGAAAATTACTGAAAACATGATCCAGACAGGTGCCACTTATGGGTCTTGTTATTGACTCTACGAGCTGTTTAAAATTCATACTGAGAATATGTCTGATTAGGCGATGTTTCTTAAATTTCTGACGTTCATTGAAGTTAACGTTGGAATCTCCAAGTAAAATCGTTTCCTTATTTTTTTTTTTTTTTTTTTTTTTTTTTTTTTTTTTTTTGAATGTATATTATAAAAGTTACAAATTTTCTTTATCTCTTTGTTTCCTTATTTAGTAAGCAGATTCAATGTTTTTGTCGAGCTTGTGATCCATATCCTGGGAATAAGAGGGTGGTCGATAAACAGCAGCAAAGAGCAGAGGACGTTTTGATTTGAAGGGACAGATTTCCACCCAAATAACCTCAAGGTTACAATCTTCCAAATCAGTTCTTCTGCGATGATTAAGTGAGTTGTTGACAAACATCATAACGCCACCTCCAGTTTTACCAATCCTATCCCTGCGATATGTGCTAAAGCCCGGTACAGAAAACATTGCGTCAGGAACATTAGAATTTAAGAATGTCTCATTCAATGCCAGAACATCGACTTGCGAGCGATTATCTCTACCAAGGAGAAAGAGCTTGATTTGTTCAAATTTAGACGAAGTCAGTCTGTTTACATTCCAGGTACCAAAGCGAACCCCCTTATTTCCAAGACCCAAATCAAAGAAAGGATATGGGTCGCAGAATTCATCATCGGAGGGAAATTCCACAGAGGTACTATCCAAATCAGATTCATAGTCGGTTCCTGTAGAATTAGTGTCGGACAGGAAAGATACGTTGAGTGCATCAGGACCGGGATTCACGGATACATCACCAGCAAGTACAACCAGACTGAGCGCCAAAAAGCCAGCCTTAGAGATGAACACTCCAGCTTTGAACTTTAAAGATGGCGGCATCTGTTGTTTATTGGAGCAACTCCGCGATAATCTTGAATTTCTCGATGGAAATTGTTTAACATCGAGACCATTAGATACATAAGTAATAATAGCATGATTATTTAGCTTTCTGGTAGGTTTTTGGGAATTTAAAATAACAAAAAGCATCAGAAAAATCAGATAAAATCTGGAGCTTAGCAAGACAGCCCTTCTCGCCATGCTTGAATGCTTCTCCCTTTAAACTGGTGCTTCAAACTTTATAGCAACTAAAGAGAGATCGTTTTCGTTCTTATTCAGGCTGAAATAATATTTGTTTTGTGACCCAAAATTGTTTAGTTATATTTTGAATCCTTTTTGTGACTACTGCGTTTGCGCAGAAGTCTTTATGCACTAACACACATCTCGCGAACACTTCGTATCGACGACAAGTTGCCGATTGCTCCCGACGATAAGCGATATGTGCCTCAAGGGTCAATATGGTGTGCAATGTCCGCTATAATTCTAACTTGGTCAAAATTATCGAGAAGGGGTTAGCACGCGTACCACCTACATCTGGTGGCTCGTATCTCGTGGCCCCACTCGCACATGGTGGCTCATTGGCAATAACTCCGAAACCATGTATGCAATGATAACAAAACTTGGCACGATGGGTGAGACTTCTGTTGTCAACCATCTGACCACGTGACATGGCCTAACGTCACATATCACGTGATTTTATATACCGAACTTTTTTGCCGATTTTTGTAATTAATGGTCATTACAATAAATGCTATGGTAACGAAACTTGGTACAATGGGTGAAACTTGTTTTCCTTTTTTGATTCTTTATAGTATCTTTATTTCATCACCTATCATATTTACTGTGAAAAAGAAAAAMAGCACAAAGATTATCAGTCATTTTTAGCGGAATGTGAAATTCTAAAAGGAATCATAGCAAGTGAGATTTCTTGGTTTGAATAAAGTGAGGGTCAAGAGTGAAGGCTGAACAGTAATTTGATGATTGAAGACTGATGTTATATCAGGCTTTAGTTCGTAAGCTATCTATGCGACAATGACACGGGAGGATAAGATTAATCAATGAATCAGTGTTGAAGCATTTTAGACTTGAAAATGTGAATGTATTATCAACATCACTTATTCCATCCCTGATAAGACATGTTTCKAGCATTTAAGAGGAATTTCAAGTCTGGTTTTTAGACTTCTTTGTGCGAATAAAATATTTATTAATTATAATAATACGTAATTATCCCCCCCTAACCAATTCATGGTTTTGTTTCCCCCTAATTACTGTTGCTATGTCTCACAAGCTCAACAACAAACTGGGTAGAATATCTCAGAATTGAAAACTCTGATTGTGGAAGATTATAAATTGCTTCAATTGTTTAGTGTGCTGTGAAAATAAAAGACAAATGCTTTCTTAATCCTTGTAGTACTCTTTAAAGCAGATAGTTGTAGTTGTATGTGTGACAAAATTTTAATGCCGCTGGGAAAACTGCTGCAATGATGATTGGCTTGCTATTGTATAAGTCACAACCATCAATAGACTATTTACATCAGATGTCCTCGTCAGATTACTCACTTCCTTTCATAATAATAAAACACATATCACACATTACATCAACTGATAATATTTTTAATCATTAAACTAAATATGGGTTATTTACAAACCAATTACTTTTCCCTCTGCTAATAAATATTTACAACAACATTGGCATTACTTCATCAA